TGTAGAAGGGTAGACAGATCAGATTACTGCCAAGATCAGATGCCTTTCTCCCTACTAGAGGCATTAAAAAAAACAAACAAAAAAAAACCCCAGAAAAAGAAAAGGGATGTTTTATTTCAGTAGTGGGCAGCAGAGACTGATTTCAGAGCTATAAGCAGCATCCGTCTCCTCCACGTCTGCAGAGCTCACTTGATACAGATCTGTTCACAGCCCTTGTTCCACTCATGGAAACCAGGAATCACACCCCTGCTGCGCAGAAGAGCTGTGGCTGCCCCCTCCCTGGCAGTGTTCAAGGCCAGGTTGGACGGGGCTTTGAGCAACCTGGTCTACTGGAAGGTGTCCCTGCCCGTGGCAGGGGGGTTGGAACGAGATGATCTTTAAAGTCCCTTCCAACCCAAACCATTCTATAATTCCTTTTGCATTTTCATTTTTTAGCTCTTGCATGGGCAAGCATGTATCTTCCCTGTTCTACATGGAAAGGGGCCTGAATCCAACAAGTTGGCAAAGAGTAGAATTCCGTAGTTATTGCAAGGCATAGGCCAGACCCATCCTACTTCCTTGTGCTCTCTGCCTGGCAGGCGCTCCTTAAGAGCCCCACACTGGGCACCTCCGTAAGGTCACACTTCATTTCACAGCTACTGGGCGACATAGCAGACTCACCCAGTAGCATCCTCCTACCTGTAAGACCCCATTACTCCTAACCTGACCCCAGCAATGCCACTTCCTACCCTTCCCCATTTTCTGAATCCTAACCCACTATCTCATCTGCTGTTCACATCTCCTATCTCTGTCACCATATCCTAATCCCCAACTATTCTGCTCTCTATTGCTGCCACACACGCACACTGCTATACTCTTGCTACAGCTGTTCGGCTCCTTTCTCATTTCTGCCCCAGTTCACCAGTTCAGTCATGGTGCTGATAGAAGACAGATACCTGGCCTCCTCTGACACTCAGTACAGCGTGCTTCAGAGTGGTGCACACTGCATGCATGGAATACACACCGTTAGGTGTGTATGTAGGTAGGTACCTGTCTCCTAGAATAGCACAAAATACTGGCAGGAGCAGTCTCCTACATGGGATAGATTGCTGCGCTCACAGAGGCAAGTGGCACAGAGCTGGCACTGGCTCCTGCTTATTCAGTTGTCTTTGCTTGACCGTGTAGGTATCAGTGTCAGAGGGAGGCACTTCACTGAAATTCCTTTTTTTCCTTTTTCTTTTTTTTTTTTTGCCTCCAAGCTACTCATTTCCACATACTCCCAAAAGAAAATGAGGTGACACAGTGTGGGAGGTGGAAGGAGATGCTTTTTGGCAAAAGACTGGAAATTAAAAAGGAGCAAAGGCAGGCTGGACCTTCCTTCTAATTCATACCAGAGTAGAAGCTCCCATATTAACCACTAAAAATCCAAGTTGAGGAAGTAACAGCTGGAGCCCAAAACACTCTCACACTCATATGTTCTCCCTGTCCTACCCTTCCCCCACACACAATATTTACAGGCTAACAAGCTGCAGCTGCCCACTGTCCTACCCACACCTCCTCTCCATTTGCCATCAATAAGTCTAGTGTTGTCCCATTTTGTTTAGGGCATGCCCCAGTGCATTATTGGGTGAGAAAAGAGGGCGGTTCACAGCCTTAAAGGAAGTTAGTTGACCACAATGCTCCCTGGGGTGCTCAGTTCCCGTCCAGAGCCCAGGAGGCAGCAGTGTGGGCAGTCCAGTGCTGTCCCTGGAGCACAGGAAGCTCAAAAGCCCTGTGCCGGGCTACTCCATCGCCCAGGTGCACCAGGTCTTCTACGTAGGGACAGCAGCCTCCAAACTGCGCCGGCTGTGTCGGAGTTTGCGTTTGCTGCTGTACAGGGCCATTTCTTCAAGTGCTGATGAAGTAGGTGTCGATGAATCACGTGTTACTAACATTTCCTCTTCCTCTGGCTGCCCATCCTGCTCCTGGGGAACTGTGTAGACAAGAAAAGTTAAGGTTTTAAGAGCAAGTGCTAGGTTAAGTATATAGCTGATACTTAATGCAGACATAAGGGTATACCCAGGTGCTGAATTTGAGACAGCACTGAACTCTTCATGATTTATAGTAACCCCACACCCGGAATTTTTAGGTGATCTGTAGCTCATGTACTGACTACTGTGAGTTCTGTGAAGGAAGTCTCATGCGTGAGAAGACACCTGGCCCCTAACACCCACGATTCACTGAAAATTATTGGAAGTTCCAAGCCTTAGGACAAATCAAGTATACTGGAAGGACTCAGGTGTATGCTACTGCTCCAAGCATTTCACTAGTTTCAAGAGAGTTGCATGCACTAAAGAGCAGTGTGACCGCCAGTAGGGTATGCCGTAGCTAATGAGAGAAGTGAGCATTTTGCCCTTGCTTAATGCTGAAGTTACACAACTAAGTCCTTTCTGTAAATTTAGACTGTGACTTGGGTCCCCCACCAAAGGAACTCACCAGGAAAGACACTCTGGCAGGGCAGACTCTGTTAGCTTTGTCTCAGGCCTTTTAGGATGTGTTCTGCATCTAAAGTACACTGCTGTTACAGTGGCTCCTTTCCCTCCCAAAAGGAGCTGGCAGAGCTTATCTGATGTGCTTTGACATACACCTGGAACATCTGCCCTTTGCGATAACTTGGCTTGAGCAACTACTGTGAGGTACTTGTGTAAAAAGGAAAAAGTTCCACAAAATCACAGATTTTTCCCTTCAAGTGCAAACTGGCTCCTGGGAAGCCTCTCTGAAGTCTTCGAACACAGCAGAGAACCTTAAATACCGAATTCTATGAAGATACATCAGACCAAAGGTGCACAGTCTGCTGAGCTGTACCCAGTGGCCCGTGCTCTGCTCTAGAGCCAAAATCCAAGATGCAACATCCCCCCTGTTACAGTACCCAAGTATGAGTAGTAGTTAGAATTCAGAATCCTTCCTGAACTACGAACTGCAGCATTAACCTGGTGTTTGAAAAGGCCTCAGAACCAAATGAATACAGGCAACAAATCTGACATCTTGAAAGGATACCGGGACTGGGAAGCAGATGACTGACTTCCAAACAAGGCAAACAGGTATAAAATAAAGGCACAGACACATGCAGATAAAAATCCAGATGGGGGTGGGGGAGGAAGTCAATGGGGCTTAGAGGGAAGTCATTCATTTTAGACGCTCTTAGACTAGAATTTGCCAAGGGAGCCATCAAACATGCAAGTTAAGTGATCTCAACACAGCATACTGAACTTTGAAAAAAACCAAAACCCTTTGGATAGTTCCTCAGCCAAAGCTCTTAATGAAAACAAGCTGTCATGGGATAAGAAGGCACTCCCTTTAGTAGGTAAATAAGTAGTTAAAACACAGAAACAGTGCAGGAAGATCTTACCTGCTATCACAACATAGAGCAGCTATCTCTATTAGGGTCAGTATTTGGTAACTAACAAGAAGGAGTAGAAGTGATGAAGACTGTATTGAGAGAAACTGCTGATGATGCCAAGCTGTTTATCAGGGTAGCCAAGTGAAACTCAACTACAAAAAGGGTATTAGAATTTTACAAAGTTGACTGGGCAACAATGTGGAAGGTAAAATTTACTGCAAATGTGAATAGAGTCAAGAAAAAAAATAAACTACTCTAAAATTAAAGGCCTCTGGCTTAGAAAGTGCTAAAACACAGACTGTTGTAGCCTCGAGTAGTATTCTGGAAGGAAACAATTTAGGCTTTTCTTTTTTTATGCTCTTGGCATTCCCAGTGGCTCGCATCAGACACAGTATTGGACTAGCCAGAACCTTGTGCTGACTTAGTAAGTTTATTTTGACGCCATTGGATGATGCTTAAGCTCAGTAAAAGTAGTATAATCCCACTTGCATATAAAATACAACATCCTTAAAATGAGATTATGATTCTGTAGTCATTAGGGGGAGTTTCTGAAAACACTGGCACACTTCTGAGCAATACCATTTCACTTTTGAGGATATCGGAAGAGATGGGAGAACATACAGAACACCTTCTGCCACTGCATAAACTCATCATATACCTACATTTGCAATATCGCATGTAGGCCTGTTCTCCTTCTCTACGTTAAAGATCATAGCATGCTTTGGGTTGGAAGGGACTTATAGAGGTCATGTAGCCCAACCCCCCTGCAGTGAGCAGGGACATCTTCAACCAGACCAGGTTGCTCAGAGCCCCATCCAACCTGGCCTTGAATGTTTCCAGGGATGAGGCCTCCACTACTTCTCTGGGCAACCCCTTCCAGTGTTTCACCACACTCATTGTAAAAAATTTCTTCCTTCTATCTAGTCTAAATCTACATTCTCTTAGTTTAAAGCCACTACTCCTTGTCCTATCAATGCCTATAAAATGGCATAGATGAAATAACAAAGGTCAAGAGAGGTGTGGGAACGATTCCCACAAAGAAGAACTAGGATTCTTCATCCTGGAAGACAGATAACCGATATGATACTGGCCTATATGAAAGGTACAGAAAGAGTAAGACATAGTTACTCACTGCATCCCAGAAGACACAAGGAAACTATCAAGAAACAGCATTAAAGTAAACAAAGTATCTAATTGTGGAACTCAATGCCACAAAGCATCACGAAAGATTAAAAAAAATCTAGACAATTTTATAGAGGTTCATTCTATTGATGATCTAGATGCAACACCTGGCTCAAGAAATCCCTGTTTAATGGGTGTCTACAGAAAACTGAGAATATGCATCTATGCAAGCTCATTTTCTCTGTTTCTTATAGTTTGTCCTGAAGAACTCACTTCCAAACAGGATACTGGTATATTCTGAACCAGTACAAGCCTCCGTGACATGCTTCCTATCCCACAAAGTCAGAAAATACTGGAAGACAGCACAGGCACTGCAACTAGTGTGAGTCCAGAGATTCTAGTTTTGTGAAGTTTTGGTGGGAAAGAGACAGTAAAATGAAAGTCAAAAGGGTGGATGCAAGTCTTTGGAGGAGAGATGTGGCTAAAAACATTGGCTGGGGATACATTAACAATACAAGAAGGCGGAGAGATCACTTTTCATTCCTGTGTGTGTAAGAGCTGCTGAGCTGAGTCCTAGACAAAACTAGTAATACAGTGGTGATCAATCCAGTGCAGGATAAAATGATACTTTTCCTGTGTAAGTTGCTGTAGACATTATACATCCCAAGTGGACAAGGACCATGAGGACAAAAGTAGTTTCTTACATACCATAAGTAGGTATCCAGTAGTAAGTGCAATACAAATTTATCAAGGTTCTATTTCTGAAGCCTGATGATTATAAGATTGGAACAGTTACATCATAAAGCAAACACATAGCATGGTTCCACCATGAAAATGCTATTATGTAGTTCAGTATCTTCATGACCTCTAAAAACATTTATTCCAAGGTTTTCAAAACACATTTAAGAGATGATGACCATGAAGTCAGACCCGAGAATGGAAAGAACATTTTCTTAGAGCCCACCTGCAATGGACAAGAAGAAAATGGTGTGCTTTGAAAGATGTTCGGAAGAGAGGTAAGCTAATGCTTTCCTGCAGTCAAAAGGCCTGACAGGGTATGTCAAATCGGTACCTCAAATGCTGGGAGCAGCAAATGAAGCTGGGGGGGGGGGGGGCGGAAGGAGATTGCGCCCACCCAGGGTGGCGCACACCGAGTGTTGTTTTGAAGCAGTTCAGCATATGCTCCTTTGGTCTTGGGTAACTGGTTTCCTTTCCTTTTCATGGTAAAGAAAAATGCAAGTAAAAATCACTCCAATTCTCAAATACTGTCCCAGAGAAATATTTTATTCCAAGTATTTTCTCCACATGTTCTGAGAATGGTATCTGAAAACAGACAAAGGCAGGCCTAGCAGGAGGCTGGAACTGATGCAGAAAAGGAGGATTTTTTAAATCCCTCGTATAGGTGTTATAACTTGCCAAAATCCATGTAAAAATAAAAATCTATATGTTGGGTGGAAAGCTACACTGCCTGGAAGAATGAGATGGAGGGGGAGGGAATCTAAAAAAAACTTGAGAGCTTCACCCCATACCAAAAGAGCTTAGCTGCATCTCCATCTGCCATCCTTCCAAACTGATTTTGGAAAACCTGCATTTTTTTGGTCCCTCACACACATCACAGTCTCATACAGTGTTCACTTAAGGATTACTTAAGGACTAAGGGCTGGGTTAAAAAACTCTTGATAGAGCACCACACTCTTTTCTTTATGGCTTTTATTCTGTTTGATGGCCCAACAGACCAACGACAGGCAATAGTGGGGTCTGAAGCCCCTAAGCAATTGCTGATTATTTCCCGACCCTTCCGTGACCTCCTAGTTATGTACACTGACTGAATAGACTACCTCAAGAGAATAACCCAGGGTTGAGAGATTTACTCCGAGGGATGAAGAACAGATGTTATTCTCAGGAAAGTAAGTTTGTCTTGAGTATCTTTGCAGCAGAACCTCCTCCTGGAAACGGGCCATACATAGACCATCTGTCTGGAGTACAGCCTTTACTCAGAGAGATTTGCCAGGATAAAATTGAGAGAGAAACTTCCTTGTGTAAAATAAAGGAGGGGGAAAAAACAGGTAGAAGAAAATGAGCATCAACTGTTGAAGGAAACAGTCCTGCAAA